TGCTGGTCTGAGTTGGACTCTTCCGTCTCTCTCACTCCCTCTCTCTTTGCCTCTCTGGCTCTGTCTGCTTCCAGTGTGCACCTCCTTGCCACTCTCAATCTGTAGTCTCACCTCATCCCCTCTGCCTCTACACCATTTCTCCTTCCTGCTGCATCCCCAGCTCCCCAGTCTCTCTCCTCACCTTTCCCTCTCTCTCTCCCTCTCATTCTCTCTCTCTCCTCCCCTCGCTGTGTCTCTCCTCCACGTGGTCTCTCTCTGCCTCGGCCCCAAAGCCCAATGCACCTTCGGCAAGATGGAGGCCATCAAGAAGAAGATGTTGATGCTGAAGTTGGACAAGGAGAACGCCCTGGACCAGGCTGAGCAGGCCGAGACCGACAAGAAGGCCGCCGAGGAGCGGAGTAAGCAGGTGAGCCGGCCTCTGCGAGCAGGGAGGGCAGGGTGGGGGGAGCAGGCAAGGGTCCCAAATGCTCGCTTACCTCAAAACTCCTCCCCACAAGGGCTCCTTTGGCACAACTCACTGTCAACTCTATAAAAATCCTCAGTGGTTCCCTGCAAAAAAAAAAACTATGTTTTCAAAAGTGCTTTGGACTTCCTATGAAGTTTTAGACCTGATTTTTCCACATTTGAATATAAACTATTGGCTTGTTTTAAGGTAACCCTTGCTGGAGAAGTCTCTTTTTTGTCCTCCCATCCTCAGGGCCCAACTGAACTCAACTCAAGGTTAACTTCTGAAAAACCCTCTTTGGTTCACTGCAACAAAAAAGAGCCTGTCCTCTGAAGCGCTTTGGTCTTCTTCTGAAGCTTCAAATCTTATTTTTCCCTCCCAAAAGTGAATTACCAGTGTGTTTTAAGTCACTCTTCACTTGACAAGTCTCATTTTTGTTGCGGTAAATCACATAGTGGGGTCTTTTATTTTATGTCAGTGCCTGAATATTTGTCTTATTTTGCAAAAAAGTTATAGTGTCAAGATTTTCGGCCTGAATATCAGAGTAAAACACCTGTTCTGATCGAAATTTTCAGTCAGCCATTTTTCAGTTCAGTTTTATTTCAGTTCACCATTTTAAATGCAGGGAGTTTTTTTTAAAGAGGTGTCTATGGTGGGCTCCACTGACGATGGCCTCAATTGGTGTCTGAATGTCTTCATTTTGTCTTAATTGCAGAAGTGGATGCCAGGGCGGTACATTCTGGCTTCTGACTATAGGGAAAAACCAATAATTATGCTTGAAATCACAAAGGAATGAGCAGTGTTCCCTTCCATGAATTAACTGTAAAAAAAAAACCTGGGATGTTTTAACAACTCATATTCCCATTAGACTTCCATTTCAAGGATATTAATCATTCTACTTGAAAACTTGCTGAAAGAATTGAAAAGGGCAAACTTGCATATGAATCAAAATGGACAATTTCCGGTGTAACAACATATTTTTGAATAAACAGATGAAAATTAAAAATGCTCTCCTAAGTGTTTTGAACTGAGACCCTCAGGGTGATGTTTGGATTCTGAGCATTGGGACTAAGTTTTTGAGGAGGTGATTATAAGTGGCGCTGTCTGCATGGCAGTGGTTGACATATTAGCACTCTTTTAGCACAAATGGTAGGAACTCAGCCTGCGATTACAGACTAATGCAACATGCCTGGCATCGAGAGATAAGAGAGCATTGCAGTAACAGCTTCGCAGTCAGACGTTTGCTCGGAATTAAAAACAATCCCAAGTATAAACACAGTAAGTAACTGAAATGAACAAATGTTTTGAATTTAAACAAATCACAAAATAAATAATGATTTCTAGTTATATTTAGTGAAGAGCACTACATACATGTATCAGAGGATTTGTCCTGTCAATGTCAGGAATGTTTATTATCTATCAGCGTATTTCCGGAACTTTCTATGGGGCGTTGCAGTTTTTTCACTCGTTTGTTTTAACCTTAAAAGGTGACAAAGCCAGAGGAACTGGCAGAAACAATGATGTTAAATGAGGACACAATAACAGAGACAGAAAGCTTGGGACAGTAGGGCAAGATTTTTTTTGGAGGGTGGGTGGTGGGTATTTATGCCTGCACGGTGTGGTCACCAAATTATGACATGCCGGTCGACATCCAGCCCAACACTTGTTAGAGGGAGTTGGGGTGTTTATGTCAATGTATCAACTCTTTCAATTCCATTGCTTCACCACCACATCAATCCCTAGTGTCTGTCTGCACTGTCTGTGCTGATGATGAAATACAAGTCCTGTGTAATCGGATGCCTCAGTCACACAAGGCCATGTGGGCGGCGTGTGTTGAGATGGCGTTTGATGAGGACTGTGATAATGGGCAGAGCTGGAATTCCAGGTTCAGAGAGTTCAGTTTAGTCCAGGATTTTGTTCCAATTACCTTAATTTGTTCATCAGCTCTGATCTTCAGCCTGGAGGTAGAACTGAGGTTGAAATCAGCTGAGTTCACTGGTTTGGGAAAAACATGGCAGGACTTTTACTTTGACTGCAGGATTTTCCAGCTGTGATTCTGGGGGTCCTTCTGTACTCGAGTCTCGAGAACTGTTTGAAGTTCACTTAACTCAGTGGTTCTCAAACTCGGTCCTGGGGACCCCTTGTATGCTGGTTTTCGTTCCAACCACAATGGCAATCTCAGTATTTTAACAAGATGTTAGTTATACAAACTAGGAGCTTATACGCTGTGTGATTACTCAAACTCTTAAATGACATCCTGCCAAAATTTATCTTCTATGGGCATGTAGTACTCACTGGATGAAATTTCAAACAGTTGATTTCAATATGCATGAAGAAAGGTAACTATAACCAATGCAATTAAAGACTGAGGTCAATCAGCAGGCTCTTAATTGGTATATTCACCTGGCCATCATCCCTAACCATCAAGAAGATAATTAAGAATGTAATAACAATGGTAAATGATAATGAGGCCCACCAGTTTTGTGGTGAAGTATCAGGAAAAAATAACCAATTGTTGCGTATACAGCAATTGACCGAGTAACCTGTTATGTCATTAAGTTGGCAAATTAATCTTATCGGTCTGTTACCTCTTAAATTTTTTGCCCATAGTGCAATGAGCACAGTGTAAAATTAGTCATCTTTGGGGCATTGCAAAGCGATGTTTGGCATTCTGTAGATTAAGATGGTAAATGACCTCTCTGATGATCAAAGGCACCTAATTAAGAAAAACTAACAGCTTGTTAAAATCCTGGAATTGCAATTGTGGTTTTTAATGAAAACCAGCATACACAGGGGTCCCCCAGGACTGAGTTTGAGAACCACTGACTTAAGTCCCTGGGCCCTTTAAAGTGCACTGTTATCCCTGAGTCTTAACAAGTGGATCGCTCTCTTTCCTTCTCTCTCCTCCTCCCTCTCTCCCCCTATTTCTCACTCTCTCCTTGTCTCTCCATCTATCCTTCTCTTTCTCTCTATTTCTCCCTCTCTTCCCCTTCCCTCCATCCGTCTCACCCTCTTCCCCTCACCCCTCCCTCTCCCTCCCCTCTCCCTTCCTTCCCTTCTCTCTTGATGTCTCCCTCTCTCTGTCTCCCCATCCATCTCTCCTCTCCCCACTCTCTCTCTCCCCTCCCCCCCTCTCTCTCTCTCCCTCTCTCTCTCCCTCCCTCTCTCCCCTCCTCCTCCTCCTCCATCTCTCTTCCCCTCGTTCCCTCTCTCACTCCCTCCCTCTCTCTTCTCCCTCTCTGCATGTCTCCTCCTCCCCCTCCCCCATGTCTCGCTCTCCCTCCCCTCCCCCCCCTCTCTCTCTCTCACTCTCTCTTTCCCTCCATCTCTCTCACGCTTTCACTATCCCTCCCGCCCTCTGTCTCTCTCCCAGCACGAGGATGAGCTGCTTACGATGCAGAAGAAGCTGAAGGGGACAGAGGACGAGCTGGATAAGTACTCTGAGGCCCTGAAGGACACGCAGGAGAAGCTGGAGCTCGCCGAGAAGAAGGCCGCAGACGTGAGTCACGCAGCCCGAACTATGCTGCGACCGCAGCATGCGCAACATATACGGCATACACATGCGTTTCTACATCACATGCGCCTGAGCTGGCTCCGCTAATGCAGTTACTCAACACAGAGTCCACTACCCACATGTCAGTGGCTCTGTCCGAATCGTCTTATACACCTACTCTTGTGTAAACCGCTTGTCCCAAACTTATACTCGACAAAAAAAGTTAAGGACCACTGAATATTTTCACTATTTTCTTTTGGTTCTGAGCTTACCTAGACGCAGTCAAGCTGTCATGAGAACAATTGTTTTTCCCACAAGATTTTGAAGTGACTTTCAACATTATTTCACTTTTTGATTTAATGGTCAGAATTTGGTGTGATTCTGGTCTTCCCCGTGTATACGCTGTTTTGGGGAAATTAAGTTGTCCGCTCAAATGTTTTGATGCAATTTGTGTCTTTGATTAACACCAGTGACATAAACAACGCCTGGGATTCATGCTCAGTTTGTACATTTCACATTCTCGGGTTACAATACAGTGCTCCTTAACTTTTTTTTTTGTTTTTATAAATTTGACATCTCCAATCCCACCCAAATCTGGAATGCCCAATTCAAGAACTATGTACAAGGGTTGCTCATATGTGACCCCTTGTTGCCAGCTCAGGAGAGAGGGACGGTTCACTGCTCTCCTCTGAAGTATGCACCCGTCAACTACTGCTTCTTTACACCCATCGGTCGAAACATCGCAAGTTCAGAATGAGGGCGGAGGATGCCCGAACATGAGCAAGCTGAGAATCTTACTGACAGGCGCCCGTCCAGCCAACAGGAGGCGCTTGAGCAACGAACAAAGCGGCTATTTTTAATATCCCTTCCTGGCAGTCCCTTCCCAATTTGCATCCCTGCAGCGCGAGGCCAATTGTGCGCTACTCTGAAAATGAGCGCTGCTCTGAAACTGCCTTAACTTTTTTTGTTGAGAATATAATGAGCACCATGATTCACTGGACAATGATTATGCATTGCATTGAGTTTGATAGTAATATTTCAGTAATATGGTGCTTAGGAGGGGGCACGGTAGCGCAGTGGTAGCACTGCTACTTCACACCAAGAAGTATGTGCGTTCAAATCTGGCCTGGGGCCTTTTTGTGTGGAGTTTGCATGTTTTCTTTGTGATTGCATGGGTTTCCTCCCCCAGTTCAAAGACATGCATATCAGGCTAATTGGAGATGCTAAATTGCCCATAGGTATGCGTGGGAGAGCAAATGGTGTGTGAATGGTGTGTGTGCCCTGCAATGGATTGGCAAGCTTTGCAGGGTGGGTCCCTGATTTTCGCTTATAGTCAGCTGGGATTGGCTTCAGCTCCCCCGCGACCCTAGTGAGGAAGAAGCAGCATGGAGAATGGATGGTGCTTCGGATAAGGCAACTAATAGCTGAATATGAATTGAGCACTCAATAATAGTTATATGAAGTGTGTCGAACACAGCTGCTATATTAGGCAAAAAATGGCAGATTTCTTTCTTGCCCCAAAGTGAGAATGAACCCATCATTTGGGAAACACAGCCCTTTGTTCCAGAGCTATGAGCACAAATAATAACCTCGAGGAAATGTAATAGGTGGAGATGAGGGGTGAAATCTGCAAAGCATTAGCTTAACAAATGTGCACTGTTCATGGATGACGTTGCGCTCTCACCTGATCTGAGTTAAATGCCTATCCCTTTTGAATTTAGATATTTTCAATATTTTATTGAACGCATCTGTCTAACTGGAACCAATCAGATGGTTTCAAATGGCAAAATCCTACTGGTTGTTTCTCCTGGGAGACTCAGGTGCGCCAGGCAAAATCAGTGGGACACAGATATGTATTCCAATCCTAATTGTATATCTATATGATCTTGGTTAAAAGGATAAGAAAACCTATGGTTAACTTGCATTGCCAAATTAAGTACATAATCTCTGCCATCCAAAACGATGAGCAATTTTTATTTTTTTTTTTTGTATCTTGCAAACTGCATTTAAATGTTTAATGTATAAGACGGCATAAGAAAGCCGCCATATTACTTTGGCTGGAAGAAGATGCTTACGTCACCTGGCTTGGTAGCTCTTTTGTTTGAAAGGTAAAATCGTTTTGTTAGAATACCCAGCAACCACGCATTGAGGCATTGTCAAGGATTAAATATAGATTTCCAGCAAACAATCGATTGTAATTCAAACAACTGGTATCTCTCAAAACACTCTTGATTATCAACGCAACTATCAATACTTATACTGTGACTACAAACAGAAAGACATATCCAGCCCTCATAACGTCACGCACGGGTCTGGGCTGAATATTTCCCATTGTTTGATTGGTTGATTGTTTTTTTTTTTTATGGCGTCGATAGCAGATTTTGGCGTTTTTAGGATTCTGCGATGTTTGAACGCGGATAACACGGTGTACAAAATGTAAATGAAATAATGCCGTATAATTTTGGACAGCAAACATTATGTCCTTTATTTGACAATGCAAGTTCACCAGAGGTTTTCTTATCCTTTAAGACATACAAACACGCATACACTCATACATACACTCTCACACATGTGTTTACACAGTCTAGCACATGCAGGCACTCTCAGACATGCTTGCTTTCACATACTAACACACACACACACACACACACACACACACACTAAGACTCAGTGGGTTAATCCCTACACCACACTTCCCATCATCCTCCACATTCCCCCCATTCCCCCTCCACCACAGCTGCTGTCGCACTCTTCTGACAATGATGTCATCATTCCAGGATCTGACTCCGCCCCCTCCACTCCACATCACCATTCCTCTCCCCATCATCCCATCCTTCACTTCCTCTCTGGGAACAAAACTCACTCGCTTTTTTGCGAGCCTTGATTCCCCCTCCCCTCACTATCTTACACTCTCAGAGTTAAAGATCCCCTATTACGTCACCAGGTGCAAGGCCAATTAGTTATGACATGCCATTTCAAAAATCTTTCCCCTCTTGAGATCACATGAGGAAGTAACCAGCCAGAGGCAAAAAGAGCTGATAGACTTCAGCCAAGCAGTCAATCAGATTTCATTATTTGGGGTGGATGCTTGCGGTTGTGATGTCAGGAAGGGGAGATTTTGAACTGGCTCATAATGGCTCATTAGCTGTGCACCTGGTGGCATAATAGGGGACGTTAAAAGTTACACTGGTGGGTCATTTTTGTTCAGTGACGAACAAATTTAGTAAATTTACCACCAAATCACAAAATAGTTCTGTCTGGGAGCCAAAATGCAGAAAAAAGGTTAAAATTTAATGATATGCTGGCTAAGGGCATAACTAGATGTAATCAATTATTCTCGTGCACTGGATAACACCCTAGTAACAAGTATTTACACCTTTTTAGATACCTTTATATACCTATTTTTCTGAGCTCGTAGGTCTATTTCAAGCTGAGCAAGACTGAGGCTATCAAAGCCGCTTGTTGTCACTGGCGTCATCGGTCCCACATTATCACTGACCAATCATGCATCTCGATTTAAAATAAGCTGCTGCTGTCACCAACCAATCGCGCACTGTGATTTAATACAGCACTTTAATGAAAGGTCTCACCCAGCTGGCCACGACTGTACCACTAGCTGACACCAGTTCCAGAGCTAGCTGCTAGGCTAGTCCATCCCTGTGATGCACCAGGTGTCCAAAGACTGCCAGGTGTCATCAACTGGAGATATGACTCACCATGGGGTGTAGCATGAAACTTTGGGCCCTATACATAAGAGGCCTCAGTGACCCCCACCCCCCCACAATCCAAGCCTCTTGATGGCCCCCCGCCCCTTGGGGCCCTGGGCACTCGGTCCCACTTTCCCCCCAGTAGGACACCCCTGGACTCCCCATTGGTGGAGACGTTATCTTTTGTCCTATAGGGTGTGAAATAGTCATTGCCATTGTGTAACCGCAGTGATTTTGGGGCACAAACGGCAGGTCTGGGCTGAGTGAAGCTGCCAGCTCAAAATCGAAGCACAGATACGGGAGGTTCAATGTTGTACTGATCTCATAGAGCCATCGAGCTTGAGCAGACTTAACTGTGGGAGCCAGATGCACAAAGTGGATTCTTTTTTGTGAAACAGGTGGTCGGTGAAATGCTCGCCCGTTAGCGCCGCTTTCTGGACTATTGGTCTGGAGTGTTTTTCATCAGCATTAACCCCATGAAACCTGCAGACCCATACATGGGTCAGTCAAATGCAGCTGCTGTATTCAAACCTGTGGAACTTCAAGTTCATTTTAAATTCTAGTGGAGATCCCAAGGTTTCCTGCAATCCTAAATATGTCCAGCTTAATTACAGGGAAATGTGTATAAAATGATGTACAATATCTAGATATTGTCCATGTGATGTAATGCTGTGGCCATAAAAACATGGTGTCCTGATTTGAATATTTCTTTCAAATGTAAGAGTGATGGAGCTTCAGGGACGTGATGCAACCAGCAGATACAGAATATGTAAGTGATATTGTCTTGCAATATGAAAAAAAAAACGTTATTTTAATGTTGAATATATCATAAGTACAACCACATTTCCAAAATAGTTGAGATGCTGTGTAAAATGTAAAATAAAAACAGAATGCATTGATTTTCAAATCATTTGAACTTTATATTTATTTGAAAATAGTACAAAGACAGTATATCAGATGTTAATTCTGAGATATTTTATTGTTTTTTGGAAAATGTGCCCTCATTTTGAATTTGATGCTAGCAACACATTTCAAAAGTTGGCACAGGGGCATGACAACCACTGTGTTGCATCATGTCTTCTTCAATCAACACTGTAAGCGTTTGGGATCTAATGAGACCAGCTGCTGTAGTTAAGAAAGCAAAATGCTTTCCCATTCTTGCTTTATGTTGGATTTCAGCTGCTCAGTACTTTGCAGTCTCCTTTGTCATATTTTTGTTTCATAATGCGCCAAATATTGTCAGTGGGTGACAGGTCTGGATTGCAGGCAGACCACTTTAGCTACTAAACTCTTTTACTACAGAGCCATGTTGTTGTAATACATGCAGAGTATGATGTTTAGCATGGTGTTGCTGAAATGAGCAAGCTCTTCCCTTAAAAAAGGCATCTGGATGGCAGTAAATGTTCCACCAAAACCTGTATATATCATTCACCATTAATGCATCTTCACAGATGGGCAAGTTACCCATGCCATGTGTACTAATGCACCCCCATACTATCATGGATGCTGGCTTTTTAATTTTTTGTTGATAACAAGCCAGATGGACCCTCTCCTTTTTAGCCGAGAGTGTGTGGCATCCCTGATTTCCAAAAAGAATTTCACATTCTGATTAGTTAAACCACAGGGCAGTTTTCCACTTGGCTTCAGTACATTTTAAATGAGCTCAGGCCCAGAGAAGAAAGCAGTGTTTCAGGATCTTGTTTATATATGGTTTAATTGGTACATGGCAGGGTTTTAACTTGCATTTGTAGATGCAGTGAAAAACTGTGTTCACTGACAGTGGTTAACAGAAGTGTTCCTGAGTCCATGCAGTGATTTTCACTGCAGAATCCTGTCTGTTTTTAATGAGGTGCCTCCTGAGAACCTGAAAATCACAGCCTTTCAAAACTGGATTTTGGCCTTGTCCCATTTGTCCACAGATTTTTCTAGATTCTCAGAATCTTTTAAAGATATTATGTACCACGATAAAATCTCTGAATTCTGAGCAATTTTAAGTTGAAAACGTTATTCTTAAATTGTTGAACAATTTCCCCATCCAGTCTTTGATAGAGTGGTTAAACCCTCACTATATATACTTATGAAAGACATTTTATACCAGTCGTCTTTTTTAGCGTCATGCAACTTTTCCAGTCTTTAATTGTCTTATGCCAACTTTTTAAAAACCTGTTGCCGTCAACAGATTCAAAATGAGCACATATTTTTCTAAAAACATTAACATTTTTCAGTTTCAACATTTGGTACATTGTCTTTGTCCTATTTTCAATTAAATATTGGGTTTTCATTGATTTGTAAATCATTGCATTCTGTTTTTATTTACCTTTAACACAGTATCCCAATTTTTCTGGAAATGGGATTGTAAAAAAAGTCTGAGTCTAAGTGTTTATTCAAAGTGCAAGACCCAGTTTCACAAAGCAGGATTACTGAGTT